TTCATTGTACATGTACCTCTTTGCTAACACTGATGGTAATTTTTTTATGTTTGCTACTCTGATGTAGTAAAGTGGAACCAGAACTCTGGTAAAAAGAATGCTAAAAATAAAGACATCAAGGTGGTGAGAAAATGAGGCATGAAAAGGAAAAGTATCAGGTGTTCCTCAAAAGAAAAAAATGTGGAAAATTTTAGGGTTAAGATGAAGCCTCAAGGGGCTAGAGAGATGGCTCATCAGTTAAAAGCACTGGCTGCTCTTACAGAGGACCCAGGTTTGATTCCTAGCACCCACATGGCAGTTGACAACCATTCACAACTCCAGTTCCAGGGGATCCAAAACCCTCTTCTGGCCTCCATGGGCAATGCATGCACATGGTGTACTTAACGTACATGTAGGCAAGATACACATACATATAAAATAAAAATAAATTAATTAAAGATAAAGCCTTGAATTGAGTGTGGTGGTGCACATCTATAATGCTGGCACCAAGGAGGCAGAAGCAGGAGGAGTTCAAGGTAAGCCTGAGCTACATAATGAGACTCTGTCTAAAAGCAGATATAGTCCAGTGGTAGAGTGCTAGCAGAAGGGCTGGGCTCAGTCCCTAATACCACATACACACAGAGAGACACACACACATGCATACACATGCATGCACACACACACACACGCGCGCACACACACACATACATATACACAAAGCTTTTGGCTCTGATGTTCGACAGCACTGCAGTATGTCTATACTTCAGAACAATTTTTATGTATTTTATTTTTAAATATTTTATTTATTATTTTTGTTTTATGTGCATGAGTGTATTGCCTGCATGTATGTAAGTGCACCCATGTTGTGCAATCCCCATGGAGGCCAGAAGAGGGCATTGAATTCCCCTGGAACTGGAGTTACAGAAAATTGTTAGCCACCATGTGCATGCTGGAAATTGAACCCGGGTCCTCTGTAAGAACAACCAGTGCTCACTGAGCCATCTCTCCAGCTCCTATGTATTTTATTTGTAAAACTAGAGGAGTCTGGGGATGGAGAGATGGCTCAGCGGTTAAGAGCACTGACTGCTCTTGCAGAGGACCTGGGTTCAATTCCCAGCACCCACCATGGCAGCTAAGAACCATCCTTAACTCCAGTTCCCGGGGAATCAGATGCCCTCGTCTGACCTCTGAGGCATTGCACAACATGGGTGTACTCACATACATGCAAGCAATACATTTGTACACATAAAATAAAAATAATAAATATTTTTTAAAAAAGAGTTCAAATTTTCTCAACACAAATAAATAGTAAATGCTTAAGGAGATGAAAATTCTTTCTTTAATTTAAAGATTTATTTAATTTTTATTTAAGAGTGTGTGTGTGTGTGTGTGTGTGTGTGTGTGTGTGTGTGCATGTGAGTCCTTGGAGGACAGAAGAGGGGGACAGACCCCCTGGTACGGGAGTTACAGCTGGTTGTGAACTCCCCAACATGGGCGCAGCATCTCAACTCAGCTCTTCTT